ACCGGTTAATAGACTTTTTTGTCGTATGAGTATACGTTGCATAGGGTGCACCATGTGGAGGTAAGTCTATTTCACACTCCTTCAAATGTATTTTAGTATGAGAAACATCTTCATTCCTTATAGGCTTTCAATGAGTCGAACTTTGTTAAACATCGTACAGTGATTGATATAGTTAATGGTATTTTATCTTTTGATAATTTTGCATATAATTTCAGATAAAACGGATTTGAATTGGTGAAGTGCTCAAGGTGAACTCTAAATATTTTGCCCATCGATCGGACCTATTTGCTATGAATAACTTCAAATTGAGCTAACCATTAATATTGCAAAGCTGTGTTCTACTATTCTATTGTAAAACTTGCAAATTTGCATTCAATCGATATCATCTAAGTGCTCACCAGCTATTAATAGCCTATAATTGATTTCAATTATTGTTTAAAATGGTTTGACAAGTCTGCTTTTTAGAATGGATGTACGGAAGTCAAAATGCTGCCATACCTCCAAGCCGTCAAGACTGGTAGCTGTGGGGGGAGAGTTGAGTATTTTGTGTCAAAATAATTCTGCAGCTTTGATCGTTGTTAAACACTGTCATACTGATCCATTTCTCCAAAAAAATGGTTTCTAGTAATACGGACGGTAATGCACCTCAAAACTAAGCATTAATTGGAATTAAGTGAAAAATGCTTAATCCCGTTAGGACTGCACTAACTGTTGTTCATTTAATAATTTTAGAATTTAATTTTTAATCGACTTTCCATAAAAATATTGATCCGCAGAAATAAGATACTGAAGATTCCACCAGAAAATCGTGTAATTTAATAAGTTGCAGATCCCGTTCAGCAATCAAGAGAAATTGAGTTGACTGGTGAAATTAATTATTATGATAAATAATGCGCATACTTTATAGCACATATGCATTTGTTCTCAAAGGTCATTTGCGATAATTGGCCTCTAACTTAAAATTAGCGAACACAATTTCCCATGAAACGGGTGAATTAAGGGAAAAAAATCTGTAGTATGCACAAGGCAATGAAATCTAGCCTTGCACTGCTCACATTACTTTGATCTTCATGTTCGACTGGTCAAGAAATGACTGTCTAATGCATAAAATACTTCAAACCTCTGAATTTTCATTCCATTCTCTTTCACAATTTCGTTGCCTGGCACTAGATTGTGATAGACAACTAAGTTGTTCACTTTCAACAACCATATCTCGCTTCCTATTATCCACTACCCGCAATCGTTTAGTAAACCTCACTTCGATTACTGCTGTTACTCTGTATTTTTTTATTTTTTGTTGAAAACTGAGTCATCGCGTTAATCCACAAGATCAATAGATTTAAAATTGATATTCCAAGCTTCTTCATTAGGATATTAAAATTTAACAGTACCTTGAATTATCACTATTTTGTTAGATCGACAACGACAACACAAACTCCATAGCATTCTTAACTATTAGCACCTAATGGTTCAATTATGCACCTTGTCCTAATTCAATAAATTGCATTTATATTTGAATATTTTGCTCACCAATTTGTGACTTTTGCCAAATGCTAAGCTCATTCAAAGGCTCTTATTATATTGAGGACCAAAATGGAATCTGTTAAGATAATAAAAGGTTTTTTGCAAACAATGTTTATACAATGTTCATTTTGCTTTTCTTCTGCTCAGAGGAATCCTTGTATAACAGTTCTCCCTGAGGTGAAAGTAGCAAAATGATGATTGTTTTCCATATTCTATATTTAAGCTTGAATTTTACGAACGCAATCAAAATGTTGCCATCGTAATTACTTACTACTAAATTATTTTAGTAATATGATTTATTTGCAAATATTTGCACTAGTCTTATCAGCATTTATCAAACCGCTGCTTTCAACTTTAGCCCCGAGACTATCGCAAACAACCAAGCACAAAGTTCAAGTATTATTTCCTTTGTAGTAAACCAATCCCCAGATGAGATTTTTTATTAAAGAACTCAAGACTGACAAAGCAAATCAACTCCTGGTGGACCACTCCATGTTCATACTAACCTGCCCATTGATCTTTCAGTCTCGCTTGTTACTACATTTAGAACTCTGCTTTACCACCATATATGGGCATTTTTATAAAATTATTTGTTATTTAAAACTTTGGGACAGATTTAATCATTTTCATATTTTCAGTGAAATCATAAATTTTTGTACGAAATCAACTTCAAAAATAGCAATTTAAGAATCGAAAAATCATTCAATTGTTTTACCTAAATAGTGACCAACTTAACCTCGAATAAAAGAAATATTATCGTATATTTCCGACTATCCCGACTTTACAGGAGGGCTCCGTTCGTTGATCTTCCTATTGCGGTGGTGTCATCTGCAAAAAATTTATATACCACCATTTCTCTACTAATCGATTCTGCACTATCAAAGAAAGCTCCTTGTAGGACACCTGTGAGAGATCTATTTCTGATTCGTCTGCTCAACCAATTGTTATTGGCACAATAAGCTAACTTGGGCTTCACTCAATTTAAAGACCTCACTTCCTTTTATGATCCACTCAAAATAAGTATTACACGGAGTTTATTGCAGTTTAAATGTACGTTAGTCCCCAAGTTAAGAAAAGCACGCAGATTAGCTTATTTATAACATTTATCCTCATCATGACTGCCGGGATCATGAACATCAAGCATTCAAGCATGCAGACTTCAGAGATTTGAGAAAAACTCAGACATTCCTCATAGAATGCACTTGCACAGAAAATGGGACTAGGAGGGGACTAAGGGGGCGGGGGGTAAAGGAACACATGTCAGGGAAAATTCGAATGGGAATGAGGAAAAGACACGCGCAGTTCAGTACTTTCCCTTCTCTTTGGAAAATTAAAACATTTCACTTCCCATTTATGTACATATTTCCAGAACCAGTTGCAGCAGTACGACCTGCAACAGCCACTCGAGAACCAGAGGACCCTCCACTCGGCCTACTCGAGAACACATGAGTGGCTGTTGTTGCCATGGTAATTGGGATAGCTCGACCCTGTTGCTGAGACAGGAGTGATGGAGTGGATGGTTTCTTCAAGCCACTGACACCACTGTTGAGTCGAAGACCACCACTCGAGGGAGTAACCCGATGAGGTTGCGTATAAGGAAACTGATGAGGAGTATTTGTCGGAGAGCATATAGAAGGTCGGGTCGGAGAAAAGTGTGGAGCGCTGGGGGACATGATAGGACTGGTAGAAAGCTGAACAGGTGGGCTACTAAAGGGACTGTTACCTCCACCAAAAGCTGCTGATCGAGTAGGACCCCGAACAGGAGGATGGTGAGTATTCCCCTGCATTCCTGGATAAGGGTAATGTAATTGCATTTGGGGAGGTGGAGGAGGGGGAGATGGAGAGCCGACGAATTTCTCGTCATCCTCGGAACTAAGAGAAGGAGAAGATTTTTCTAAATCAATGGAGGTTCGAGGGCTGGTGTCTACTTCAAGAGGGTTGAGTTTATGAGATGGTGTTGAAGGCGGAGGCGGACTGCTGAATTCGGGAGTTCGACGAACTGGTGGTTCAGGGCGGGTTTTAACTGGAGGTGGTGACTTGGCTTTCGGGAGATCGCAGGTGGACGAGGACACCTCGGAGAACGAGGCCATGGATAAAGGTGAGGAGCAACCGTTTACACGATTGAAACTAAGTGGTAAAAGGAACCAAAAAAATCTGATAAATGTCTAGGTGAAAGAATTAACAAAAGCACCACTGGTATATGTGTTAATGGAGCAGGACAATTTCGAAGCAATACCATCCAAACGGGTTCGAAAAAAGATATTTACACGATTCTTCGAAATAACTAGCTCCAACAAGTCAGATAAAGGATGAAATGACCACCTGAAGGTCACTTAAAGAATATGATTTTTTTCTTCCCACCCGTAATCAGTTGCTCTCATGGTGGTCCAGAATGTGACTAAGTTCCACACTTCACTAGCCTAATTCTTGTAGAAGCAGTACTATTTTTTCCCTCTAAAGTCCATTTTGTACCTGGTTAGATGTTAGAAGATATCGTGACAGAAAGAAAGTGTGATACCAACCCCAATTAAGTTGGAAGACCATAAAATTTTAGGCCAAGCCGATTTTAATCACCTGTTAATGATTCAAGACAATGTGACATCGATCTAAAGGCATTAAACAGACAGCAAACCATTCAAAGACATCGACATCACCAATCCGGGAAGCCTAGACTCATTTATTAGGTCAGTAATTAATTAATTAAATGGGCAATTAAAATTTCTGATAAGGCAATAGATAAGTCATAGTTCGCCTTTGCTCACTTTTAATTTAGGGCCAAAAATGCACAGTATCAATTTGAAGTTCAGTGCCATTGAAAATTAATTGACCAACAAATGTCCCTCCCCCCCCCCCCCCCCCACCACAAATATTGGAATTTGACAATTGGATCATTAAGTAGGCATACAGATGTACAACTTTAAACATTACAGCTAGGAATGGCAGACATTTTTTTCGCAAGAAGGTAATACTATCTCTCTTGAGATCGGGCTACAATTTGTCCCACACTATCATTGATACCTTAACTATACAAGAGGAATCCATGGGGACAACTGCCCTGTCGCGTGACAAAAAAAAGACGATTGGAGGTTTTAGGAGTTACATGGCCGTATATTTTATCATGCAGTTCCAGATTTTTGGAATCTAGACAAATTCATCCATTTGAAATTGTGTGAATTTGAAGAGTGGGCCGTTGTACCACTGCCGTCTTAATTTCTGAGTAACATTACACCAACATAAGCTATAAACTTGAAAAAAGCTCTCGTTAAAAATACGATGTCCCCAAACGAGTGAGTAAATCATTTTTCCTATTTCCCTATCTTCAATTTAATTTATAAAATTAGTCTTACGTTGGTATTTTTGTGTATAATCATCCTCTTTTCATTGTAAAAGACATGAAGCCATTGGAAAATGGTAAAATAGGCCCATAAACATTTCTGGGAGATTGTGCAACGGATGCCATGCAAATACTGTAATTGACAAAGATGCAAACCTTTCTGAGTGGCCTTAGTGCCCACTAAACTGCGTGAACAAGGCCAACTTAAATTGTTGTTTACACAGAAACAAAGTCTCATAAACTTTCCCACCCCCCATGTTTCGTGGGAATGAGTGCTTCAATTTATACCGCATTGCCAAAGTGACTTTGATGTTTCCGCACTGAAGGAGGTAAAAAATCAAGGGAAAATTGAGATCACATGATCCCTCCGGAGCATAAACCACCCTCCCACAAGGAAATATGAGATTTGCACATAAAACCTTTGGAGAAAAAACACCGAATAGACCCGTGGTCGTGCGCACACAGTGCAAAACTTCTCTCCAATATCTGTTATATAAGTGGAAACACAATTCGCCTTGATTCAAAAGTTAGTAAAATAACAATTCAAGCATTAATGCGATAAATGTATGGGAGGGGGGGAGGGGGGGGGGTTAGTTAAGCATAGTCTGGTTTGCCCCCAAGGGTCATCCAGATATCTAATGCTCCAATTAGAGAACAAATATTTTTTTAGATCACTGTCTCAGCCATACTATGATTCAAAGTCGTTTCTTTGAGCACTCCCGTGCATGGGAAAATAATTGTGGTATCCTAAATCTACCCATTGCCCGAACCTAGTAGATGAGAATGCGGAGAATTTCAAGAGAGAAGAAGGGACTATTGGACCAAAATTTCAACAAAGACCAAAGATTTCGCATGTTCGACTAAGTATAAAGAAAATTTGCAACTTATGTGGTTAAATTCAAGCTCAAAGGTGCATAATCTAGGGGAAGACTTTCAATGCCTTTAAGGATAAAGTTCTTCCACACACTCTCAAAATCCCTTCAAATTTTACACAGGAGAGCCGTACATTCGTCTGTCCAACTAATAACCTAATGCTGTTAGGAAGTCGAATCGAACATTAACGGTGTGCCTGAACAGCGTTTACTCACACTCATAGATGAGAATGCGGGGTGTGCGATAGACTTACCTCCACGTGGTGCAC